TGCACATCACTATTAGATGTAAATAGAGAACATCAACGAATGAACCATTCACAACCATACAATCTCGATGAGCATGCATGTGAGTCTATCAATCTCAAGTAGTTGTCAATTATTACTATTATAAATGCACATAAAATATGTGGCCATTGTACAAAAAAAAAATTCATGTATCGATAATTATAAACTTAAACTAACTTTAAAAAACAGGTGAAACATGACTTTTATTTCTATCCTATCATGTATGATTAATCAAAGTCCGATACCTCTTTATTTTACTTCATTCTTTCTTAACCACATGTTGATCTCGTACGTTTTTGCAAAGTCATAGTCAGTATAGGGATAATTCCACAAGCGTCATGCTTCTAGCTAGGCTAGTGGTCCGTCCCATTAATATTTGTGTTTTAAGTCCATGAGTTGTTCTATCATTCTTTGGGGGAAAGAGATGTTCTACCATTGGGGAAAAAACAGGCAATACATGTCAAAATTTTGTCTATATCATGAGTTTTATTAGGATTGGCAAAATCAAACTCTCCATGTTTAAGTTTGGATGGATTATCAATCCAGTCATTTATTAGATTAATCCATTTTAGCTTCTAAAAAATTAGGTCAATACGTAATCCAAATTGACTGATATAGTGTTTGTCAAAATATTTTTTAAAAAACATGTTTTTTTAAATATGTTATATACAATAAAGAATTTTTTATCATTAGGTATTCAAAATTTATAAATCAATTTGAGATTTTTTACACTAAATTACATCGTAGGAAATATTCTTTTACCAAATTACTTAGTTACAGCCTTACGGGTGGTTAATTTGAGGGAGGATACGTTAATGTGGAAGAAGCTAAGACAACGATCCCCCAACTTGACATTTGTTAAAATCATTACAACGATCCCACATTAGTTGTCATCTTTTATTAACTTCTTTCTATTTTTTTAAAAAAAAAGGTCAATTAATGGTTTTGATTAGGTAAAGAAGGGTAATTTTAAATGAAAAAAATCAATTATTTTTTGAAATTTTAAAATATTATTTATTTTAGAATAAAATGAAAAAGCTAAAATATCATTTATTTTGGAGCGGCAGACTACCTTTTTTTCTTCTAAAAACCACCAAAAAATTAAGATAACATTAACAATGGGGAATTTATAAGGATCGTCTCGACACAAAAGACTGGCTTTATAAATGTTGGTTGAAGAAACTAATGGTAGCTACCAATTAATGATTAATTATTGAATATGATAAATATTACTCTGCCTACCTCTCTTTTTTATCCCCCAACATCGGGAGCCCATATTAGATCCCCGATGAAATTTGGATCGTGTACTGCAGGCCTATTCGTGGGTGACGCTCCCAACAAGATTTTTTTCATATCCATATCTTGAATTCAAAATCTCTAATTAAGGGTAAAGCAGTTCCACCACTACGTCACAACCCATAATGGTCACTCTACCTACCTCTAATACTGATCATATCATTCACTTTAAATTTCAATTAAAAATCATCCAACCCAATGAACCACTACGACTCCTAATCAATTAAGAGCAACTTTCGCATATAGCAAACATAAAAATTATATTTGTATGTTATAACTATAGTTTGCATAACTGCGCTTCATAGCAGATTTTATGTTTGCTATGGAGCTTTTGATTTGTATAATTCGCTACAAACATCCAATTTTATACAAATTGTTCAGTTTTTTATAAATTCATTTATACTTTGTAATTTGTATAATAAGATATGTATTTGTATAATTATAAGTGTATAGGACGAAAATATATGTATTAGTATTTATATACACTTTTCTCTCGATTTATACAAACACAAACTCATTTTATACATTTTATACCGAAATGTATAAAATGGCTAATTGTATACCGAAAATGACTAATTGTACACCGAATCAGATGGCTAAAAAAAAAAGAGATGTTTGTTGCGAATTACAATTAAAATAAACTATCGCCATGGCATTTAATTTGAATTAATATTTTGCTATTTCATTCAATTTTTCCATCAATTAATACCTTATCACGATATGTAACATGTTTACCAACAAAATAGGAAATTTCAGATTAGTAATATATGTGAGTATTATTGTTGGGTGAGTATTATTGTTGGGCTAAGCTATATTATGAAAAGATACTTAATATGTTATGATATATTGCACGCTTTCAACTAAGTTCATTCGTTTTCTTTCAATAGACTCCATACCCTTAAAGAGTATCTATGTACATTATATGTGTATCTTTATTTTATATCCAGTTATTCATGAGAAAATTTATCCGCACACTCAATAATTTCCTCTTCAAACTAATTTTCACATAATCTAACATCTCATAAGATGAATAGATTATTTATTTTGCCACTCATATCGTTTGCAGTTTGTGTAGTTATAATTAATCTTCAAAGACCACTAGTTTCTTTTGTTCTTTTTTAAATGTATGCATCTTTAAAGTTTCAAGGTAAAAATTAGCATGTAAACGAGTAAAGACACTAAGTCGAACTCCTGTATCACTATACTATCTCTATACTTATCTTGGTGGACCATTGATTACAATATCAATTATTGGGCTTTATATCAATCAAAAAATAATGTTTTATAATTTTCAAAGGCCACTACATCTTTTTTTTTTGTATGTATGATGTATTTATAAAGCTTCATGTAAAAATAGTAAATCGACATTTATAAAGTATATATCATTACAACATTTATATACTTTATCTTGTTGAACGATTGATCACAATATCACTTGTAGGGCTAAATCAAACCAAAAATAATGTAACTTGCACAATTCTTTAAAATGTCTCACAGGTCATAACATCAAAGTAACGAGCTATTTCTAATCAAACAAAATCCAATACTCCCTCCGTCCACAATTATTTGGCAGGTATACTAAAAATATATGTCCAAAATTAATTGTCAATTTAAACAATCAAGAAACAATTAATCACCTTTTTCCAATTCTGCCCTTAATGATAGTGTAGTTCAATTGAAAAGTTATGTAGACTTTTGGTATTCTTGGTATAATAGGGTTATATTAGTCAAATTACACCTTCTATTAAATTTTCCTTGAGGGTGTGCATGACCTTACCCTGACAAACAATTGTGGATAGAGGGAGTAGTAGTTTTTTGTTAGGTAAATAAGGATAATTTCGAATTTTTTTAATAATATTCTGTTTCTAGATCATAAAATAATACTTATTCTAAAACAAAGTAAAAATATTAAACATCATTTATTTACTTCAAAGAATATAGAGGAAATAATATTTTGTTTTATTTTTAACTATCCATATAAAATAAGGAAAATTGTATGAAATATCAAACTATTAATTCAAATTAAATGTTATAGTCATAGTTTCTTTTATTTGTAATTCGTAGCAAATATTCCATGTTTTTTGTCATCTCATTTGTATACCGAAATATACAAATAGACCCATTTGGTATACATATGTGTTGTATAAAAATTAATTGCAGGACCCATTTGTATACCGAAATATACAAATAGACCTATTCGGTATACATATGTGTTGTATATATGTAGTAATTTTTTGTTTATATACAATTACTGTGTTTTAGTTTGTATACTAAAATATACAAAATACAGATTTTTATGTATATGTATACCGAAATATACAGATTAATAGTCATAGCAAACATAAAGCTTGTTATAGAGCGCAATTATACAAAATATATCTATAACATTCAAATATAATTTTTATATTTGCTAAACCTAAAATTCACTTAACAAAATTTTACTAGATGTAATTGAACCGGGACGGAATATGATCCATAATACGAAGTTTGGTAGCGCGAGAACTTATCGAGTTGTGGCACGAAGCAAGCCAAAAAAACAGCTGGCGCAAGTTCCGCGCCATATCCAAGCTCATCCTTGTGACTGCTTAAGCTGGCCCCACAAGTTGACAGTTTTGTTGTGTTGCAATGGGCCGCGTGTCAAGCCGAAATAGCTGATAGTCTTGAGGGCCTTATTTTACTGTTCAGGTGAAAACAAACGATCTTCCCAAAATACCCTTTTACTTTATTTCTTTGGAAAAGGAGTCAAATTTTGGATACATGTTTTTTCTTTTTCTTTGTTTTTGGTGAATATGAATAGTTAGAAGAAAACTAGGGGCGGATTTAGTAGGCACGTTTGGATATAAAAAAATAACATATGATATTTGAATAAAATAAAATTAAAATTGGTCAAAAAAAGATAACTATTCAAACTTAAAAGCTCATCTTACAAAAGTAAATTACAAATCAAGCCAATACATAATCAATTTTATTTTTAAAAAATAAATTAAAAAAGTATTATTTGAGTGACTTTTGTAGGTAAAATTACAAAAATTGTGTGATATTTTTGTGACAAAATAAAGTTGAGCTACATTAGGAGATAATTATCATTAGTTTAGTGATTTTGTGTTATGAAAAAAATGAGTCACTTTTCGAGATAAATTTTTTACTTTTTTTGTTTCAATTTATTTATCATATTTTGACTTGATACAAATAGTGTTATTCTTCAATTTATCAAAAAAAAAAGCATTAAGGAACTTGTGAATTGTGATTCACGTCCGAGATCGAGCCATACTACTTCATGCAAATTAAGCGTGATACATAAAGTAAATAAGAATTTCACGGTCAGAATGGTTATTTCTATTTTTTATTAAAAAAATTGAGTATTAGTTCTTAAAAAAAAGAATTTGAATAATTAACATTTTACGGAAACGGAAAATAGAGAAAAGAGTCCACATCAGCAACTGTTCATTTTTAGAGGAACTGTAGATTTTAGTGGGGTCGATAGTGGATAAATCCAAATTATAACGTGGCGTCTTCATGATTTTTCTAGGGGTATAATGGTGAATATTGAAAAAAGAAGAGACGGAGAAATGAGACGTAAAGAGAAGAATCTTATCCATTATTAAAAACCTTTATAAAAGCAAACCAATTCCTCGCTCTTTGATAACATCAACACATACTGAGAGTATAAGAAAGAGAGATAAGAATACAAAAAATACTACCTTCCAAATTTAAACAGAGAGCAACAACTTCACATTCATTCTATACATACACGTGTCTGTATGTATACACATTAACCATTCTTTCAATTTCTTCCCATCCATCATCAATGGCAGCTTCAAGGAGCTATTTCGCCACGGCAAACTATCGTTTCCTCTCCACCGAGCCAGACCTTGCGATGACTCCTGATTCGGTGTTCGAGTTCGACGAATCAGACGTGTGGAACTCATCGACGGTTTCTCGGTCACCGGAATTTCATAAGAAATCTCCGAGTTCAAGGATCTCGAGGAAGCAGCGCGAAACGAAGAGCTACCGAAAATGTTCCGGCGCGACGGCGACAGCGACAGCGACGACGACTGCGGCGTCGTTGCCGGTGAATGTACCGGACTGGTCGAAGATACTGAAGGATGAGTACAGAGAGTACGGAAGGAGAGATAGTGATGATGATTTAGACGACGATGATTTGGATAATCGGATTCCGCCTCACGAGTTTTTGGCGAAGCAGTTAGAAAGGACACGAATTGCATCGTTTTCCGTGCACGAAGGAGTTGGGCGGACTCTCAAAGGGAGAGATCTGAGTAGAGTCAGAAATGCTATATGGGAGAAAACTGGATTCCAGGATTGATCCTTTTTATTCAAATCTTAACTATTTTGATCCTTTTCTTTTTTTTTTACTTGACGGTCATTTGTTGACTATTTACATATCAAGTCCATCACTGCTTTGTGATTGTGAGTTTTTTTTTTTTTTTTTTTTTTTTTTGAAGTTTTGAGAGTAAATTAAGACAAAAAAAATTGATCCAACTTTTGATATATTGTCCAAATTTGCTGGTAGTTTCAGATTACAAATGCACCATTGTTATGGATAATCGAGTTTGTTCTGTCAAGTAGTTCACTGATAGAGACATTACAGTGAAATGGAGTCCTACAAGAACACAAAACAACAAAGGAAGAAAAAAAAAATCTAATAAAATATCATAAACCACTTGCGCCAGAATAACTCCACAGATATTGTTAATTTTCCGTCTATGGAAAATATCAATAATTTAATTTCAGATTAAGGAGTTGTGAGTGGATTACGGGTATCTAATTACTTGTTTTTTTAAAACATATCTTAGCTACTAAAGAGTATCTGCGATTAAATTTGTTTGCACCTTACCTAGTTACCTTGCTTCCTAACCTTACTCGATCCAATAGTTCGATACTCATCTTTTGGACCAAGTAAAATAAGATATATAGATCGATCAATTTAACTTTGACTATCTAGTGAGGATCTGATCTTCACATTAATCCAAGATTATTGCTTGGACCAAGTAAAACAAGATATATAGATCGATTATCTAGTGATTTATAATTTAACTTATCCTTAATTACCTTTATTTTGGATTAGAAGTTCACAGCCTGGATATACATAAATATGGTGCATGCGAACGTGATACTAATCTACACTTATCAATGAGTACAATTAGTGAGAAACTAAGATAGTTTAGGTGGTTACGTTTTATTGCGTCTCCATCAATATAATGTCAAATCAAATATGATCAAATAATGGTAATTATGCATAATTAAACTGGTTAATGCATTATTTGTGAATTGCACTTATGGGTCCATGTTTGTGGGTGCAACATCCAACAGGTGTGCCCCTGATTTAGAAAATACTTGCGTATATAATTCAACACCACTACTTTGATGCCGTTTCTTTTCCACTAACTAAGATAAAGAGCTGTCATGGTTGATACTATTTTTAATAATTAGAAGATGCCTCGATTTGTCACTTATAAGGTACTTCACTTTTATCACTAGACATACTAAGAAAAAAAATATTTAATTTATTTTATGTGACATGCTTTCCCTTTTATAATATCTGATTTCTCTTAAAAACAATTTTATCTTAGCATCCCAATTTAAGCTTAATATTGTTTTTTTTACCACATTATTCTCTTTTTACATTTATTAAGCAATGATAAAGGTGGAAATTGATAGTTACTTATTTTTAAATTTTTAAATGACAATTATTTGGATATTATATTTTTATCAAATGACAAGTAAAATGGATCGAAATAGGTTAGATATGAGTGGTCTTGTCAAGCAATAAATTGTCTGCTTAATAGTGTAAGAAAAAGCAAATTGATGTGTTTCACTTTGAATGTGTCAAATATAAACCGATTTAGTTAAAAAGCATAATTCCAAAACTCAAAAGATATGGAATATCATGAAGATACTTTCATACTGTCGTACAGGTAACTTCTTCTAATCTTTTTTGGCCTTTATCTTTCTCTCTTTTCTCTTCGGAATATAATACCAAAAAAGGGGAAATGAAAACTCCAGGAGAAAACATGAGAAACGTTTGTTAATAATTAACAAAGTGAAATAACCTATCTATCTTTGTGAGGCAGTGATTAGTAAGGACCGCGTATATTTTACCTTTTTCGGATTCTATTGTTTTTGTGCTTCTTCGGCCAAAAAAATAATAATTTTCATGTATATGTAATAATGTTAATTCACTTTTAACTTTTTCATGTGTTTACTTCTTTATATCTTAGACTCCTTTTGTAAAATATTTGATTTCGCCACTCGGGCCTAAACTATTTATTCTGTCAAGTAAATTGTTACAATGAAAAAGATAGGAGAGAAGGTTAACTTGTAGTAATCATATATATTTAATTTGAGTTACTTTTCATTTGAATTTAGTTGAATGATATACATTGTTGATATAAAATATTTTTTTTACACTGTTTGAAAAGAAGACAAATTACCTGCTACGATAAATAAACATAAGGTTAATCTTTCCTATTTTATTTTTTTAAAAATGGTGTTGAGGTTTATGAGGAGAATAGCTGGAGGTGTTGATAGAGAAGGAAAGTTGATAAAGAAAGGGGTGGGGATTGATTGATTGATTTTAATTGATGGAAAAGTTGTGGACAATGGGATTCTTCAAACAATGGAGTACGAATGAGACAGCTGCTTGGCCTTTCGTTTAACGCTTCCTATCTTTTCTTGCTTTATGGCTATCCAATAAATAAAAGGGAAAATTACGCAAATAAGCAAAAATATACTAATTAATTAACTAACATAACTCTAGTTTGAATTAATTAGGGGTTGCAGCTCAATTTTAGATGTAATCATGTCATTTATACATATACAAATATATATATATATACCAGTTACATATATATAATTATCTGATAGATATACATATACAGTATGCTTCTCTCGCTTGCTTCTCTCCTCCCTCTCCCAATCTCGCTCGTCTCTCTCCTCCCTCTTCCAATCTCGCTTGCCAGATATACAAATACATATGTTACCAATTACATATATACAATTATTTGACAGATATACATATACAATTCGCCTCTCTCGCTCGCCTCTCTCCTCCCTCTCTCAATCTCGCTCGCCTCTCTCCTCCCTCTATCAATCTCGCTCGCCTCTCTCCTCCCTAGAACATGTAGCTATGAATCGTAAATAGCAAGTTATACCAATGGAGCATAATTAAGTTATTTTTAAGTGGTTATATGCGAAAATTCCCCTGAATAAAAATAAAATATCTCTCTTTCTATATATATATATATATATATCAAATAAATGTCATATATTTTGGATATACACTTATTGTATGTATATATATTTTTTATATGAGTGTCAATTTTCGATATAAGTATAAGATACAAATTATGATTAAATTATAATTTGTATTCTCATTTTATAACTTGTAATTAAAATGTCTGATCATTTAAGATTTTTATAAAAGAATATTTAATTTGAAGTAAATATCTTATGTGTATCTTTTCGGAAAAGGGCCTAAAATACCCTTGAACTATTGGAAATGGTACAATATTACCCTCCGTCTACCTATTGGCCTCAAAATACCCTTAACATCTACCTTTAGGTCCTATATTAACCTTCTTTTTAACGGACCCCAATTTAAACCTAATTAATAAACTAATTAATGACGTGGCATTCGTACATTGGTCATCCTATAATTAATCAAAACTAATTTAAAAATCCACCCATTCCCAAATCAAATCGACCCGCCCCAAATCAAATTCCAATTAAAAAGTCCCCACACTTCACGATCATGGCTCGTCTTGCACCGGCCAGTTGCGTGTGCAGAAAAATGAGAATTTTACAACTCTGGTAGAAGCATCCGGCGAACATATCATCAAACACTTCACTTTCATTTGGCCATTTCAATTCCATAACCCAAATCTGGAGGAAGAAACCGGCAAACACTGCTTAACTTTTCTGAATTGTTTGGTATATTTTATGTCAAGGTTTATACTGATTTTTTATTGTAGATTAACCTGGTGTTAGTCCTTTTCTTTTAGTGAATTTCCATATTATGGAGGAAGAGTGGAAGCACATGCGTACCAAAATCTCAGATTATTAGCCATTTTTAGTCTATAGCATTTAGTGGTTAAGTTGCTTGCAGATTTTGAGTGATTATCGGAGAAGATTGTTAATCAATATTATTTAATTTGCAGCAAAAGTAATATAAATCGCATAATGGCTACTCTGATTGATTCATTCTTCGCAGATTTGGAGGAATTAGATGAATTATCCAATAATACACGTGATGTTCACGAAAAATCGTTATTACGATGATTTTTATTTTTGGCTTTTAATTACGATGATATTGATGATCTAGATAATGTTTCGAAGCTGCAAAAATTACGTAGCTACATTGATATAATGCAGAAAGTTGAAGATGCTATAATTTTCGTGAGAACTCCAAAGGGAAAGGATATGGGTTAAATAAATTTGGGGCTGGTCGATTTGATTTGGGAATGGGTGGATTTTTAAATTAGTTTAGATTAATTATAGGATGACCAATATATGAATGCCACGTCATTAATTAATTTATTAATTAGGTTTAAATTGGGGTCCGTTAAAAAGAAGGTTAATATAGGACCTAAAAGTAGATGTTAAGGGTATTTTGAAGCCAATAGGTAGACGGAGGGTAATTTTGTACCATTTCCAATAGTTCAGGGATATTTTAGGCCCTTTTCCGGTATATTTTTTATATGAGCACCGGTCCACATAAAAAGCATAATGTACCACATATATTTGATGTTCCTACCTATAACTCAACTAAAAATCAAATCAAAGTCCTATCATATTATGGTTTTCAAGCCTGCTTGAATGACTTTATGACTTATTTTTGTTATTTTATCTTAAAACAAATGTTTATAAGTATTTCTTTTATTTGATCCAAACACTATAAAATTACTTTAAAACTATTTTAATTTAAAAATATCTAAAATAAATCAACTCAAACAAGTTATTAATATGCTCAAAGGGTTGTTATAGCAAAATATCCATCAGGAGTCGCGAGCGTTTCGTCCCATAGTTGGGCCTATGGGTGGTAGCCCAAGAAAATAGGGATATGATTTACCAGTCCGCTTGCCAACAATTTCATAGGGATTTAGGACCCGTTTGGTCCCAAATATATTTGAGAAAAAAATTGAGAAATGGTGTTTGGATATATAACTTGTCATTAATTGATAAATATATTTGTCAAGTATCCCAAGTTCCCAAAGACTAAAAAAAAAAAAAAATTGGGCTAAGTTATAGTATTTGAGAATATTTTTTTTAAAAAAAAATTACTCCAAACTTTAATATTTTATAAAAAATACTCATCATTTGTTAATTTCAACTAACATTATTTACCAAATTACTATATTAATAACTAATAACTAATCATCTTTGCTACCTATACAGAGCATGACAAAAAAAGAACATTTTATTTTTAATAGGTAAAAATTTATCATGAATCAATGACAAGTTTGAGTGTGCAAAGTTTGAGTGTGCGATTAATGTATTGCTCTTGCCCATATTGTTTTTTTTTGTTGTTGATTGTTATCAATTATGTTATAAGGTTTTTGACGGAACATGTTCATTATAAAACAACAATACAAACTTAAAGATATTTTAAATATTTTTTAGAACTTATGAGTATAAATCATATTTTTTGAATAGTCAAATATTTATTCCAAAATTTATGACCAAACATATGATGATTTCAACCAAAAAAAATTTCCAAGAATATTTTAAAATTTGGGCCAAACACTAGCTTAATTTGTACCTTTTTTAAAAAAAAAGTTCAACTACTACCCGTCCTCCGCTTATTCTTCAAAATCTTTGTTCGGTATAAAGTAACAGAGATTTTATGTCTCTTATTATATTGTATGTAAAATCCCCATAAAGGTTTATTTATTTTTGGGTTGATTTTAGATTAAAAATATATAATTTAGATTAAGGTGCTATGAGCCAAATAAAATAAAGGTACCATAAGTGAGACATCAAGCCAAAATAGATACTATGAGTGAAAGGCCAAGTCAAAATCAAACTTCACTCACTCAAGGTACCATGAGTGGAACTCCCCCTCAAACTCCAATTTGAGACAAAAATATCTAAAGTTTGGCCTTGTCATCAAGGCTATAAGTTTATACAAAAATGTGTTTTTGGCAAGACTATATATTGAAGCCTTGCCACAATTTCAGTAAAAAAAATAAATGTCCCGTGTTTTTCCTTGTCAGGTTCATAAGTTAAAGTAAAAAATGTTCAAAGTTGATCTTGGCAAATCATACCAAATTTAGATTAAAATGTCTGATATCTAGGGTTCACAAGACCAAATTTTAGTCAAAAAAATCTAAAAGCAAACACAAATTTTCAACTTCAGTTATGTATGCCTAAAGTTTGCGATTCTTTTTTTGACTTTTGGTATAAATTAAACGATAGTCACAAAATTTAACAGAAGGATTGACCACTGTGCAAACGATAGTAGTTTCTTTTCTAAAAATTACTCTAAATATGATTTTTGATGAATACAATTAGATAAATATCATATAAATATATTCATTAAGGGTGAAATGCTTTATCTTTACACCATAGGACTTAACAACAAAAGTAACCTTTCATTTTAAGTCAAAGGGAAAATACACTCCTTTCAAAAGGGACTCAACAATAAATTTGCAAGCATGTCAATTAATAAGAAGAAAGCAACATGCATACTCGTTAAGAAAACTTGTAAAATACGGCAGTTTCTCCCTACCAATTGCTAATGGTTTAGGATCACACCGACCATATCCAAACAGCCAAACTCACATTAATTGCGCGGCCAAACACTTTCACAAATTTAAGTAACCTTTCACCTAAAGCCACCCAATCAACATAAGTATCTATAATTTCTACCACATACAATCACTGGCTTTAAAATAAATACGTTTATATATATTTCTCGGTCATTATTGTATATTAACTAATCAATAATTTTTTTTTATTGATACTAATTTAAGTTTAAATAAAACTCTGTGTATATGCCTCTTTAAGTTTGAAATTTGATCGTTATCTGACGTATACTCAAGATGAATTTGGCTTCATAATACAAACAAATACCTACTACATGCACGTGCTTATGGCATGATCCGTTGCATATGGAACTGTGATAGCGTTGCGTTACAGTGACAAAATTAGGCTGCATGGATTTTGCCGTTTGGGTTTATTAGTGGTACTAATTACAAGTTGACTAAAACATTATATTAAGTACAATTAATAAAATTAGAAGTGTTTTAATGTGACAGCAAATGACTTTTTGCGTGGATAAAATTGTATATGGCATCACATCAATTGGGCCCTAGATGAGTTAATCTCATCACTACAAGAATTAACCATCACTATCATGCTTAATTAGTACTTATTATTTTGTTGTTTTGGAACTAATCCAAAATTTAAGGTTCTATATTTATATGCCATACATATATAACATGGATGCTTCCACTATAATGGAAATGCACGAATATGTAATATATATATAAAATTTTGTCTACTTTTTCAACATAAAAACTTTGTCAAACATCATCAATTTGATAATGTCCCATGTTAATAAACTTTGAAGTTCAAGATTTAAAGACAACCTTCTTATTCATTAATCAATTTAGCGTTTAGGCAAAACTCTTCTGTAAACCCAAAGCTTGCTTATTGTTATTTTATCTAATAACCTTTTTTTTTCTTCGTGAAAGTGAGAAGCAATTCAAACAAAAATAATGTAAAAAACTAACGATTTATTTAAAATTAAATGATTTTTATACATAATTAACTACATAAATATGTTCAAAAGGATACCATTATCTTCTACATTGATACATTTCATTCATTAATATATTATGAAAATATATCTGATGAGAATAAAATATATTTTCATAACTTGAATTTCAACTTTTTTAAATGCAAAATTAATATCATACGAACACAAATAAATCGAAGAAGAAAGAAAGATTAAAAAAACATTTACAACTCAATACAATTTATAAAACATATACTATTATTTTCAATCACATTTGATAAATTAGCATACCGATGCCTAACTTTCTTAGAAAAACAAAAACTCAAAAGAAAATAGTGCATGTGGGCTATTTTATTATATATTTCGAGTTTAGTGAATTTCGACCCCTCCAATTTATAACTTTCGAATTTTCCGCCCTCCAATTCTCCATCAAACAATAACATCATTACATTACCCTTGTTTCTCCGCTGAGAAGCTCTTCTTCTCTCTCTACCCCTCTCTTACAGTTCTTTCTCTCTATCTCTTCTCTCGATCTTTACGGCTTCAATATCTCTACCTTTTGATCTTTAAAAGCCTGGGTTTTTGTTGACTCCTCTCACTATTTCGCTACCAAACCTTACCTCTCGATTCACTTTAGGGCTTACAGATCTGTTTTTCGTTCAATATGTTTTGGAAGCTCACGCATCTGTCCTGTTCGCCGGTAAGTACTAGATATGGATTTATCTAGCTCTAATGCTTTACTTGTTGTATTTCAATTATATGAACAAATTTGCTTCTGGAGATTTGAATTTTTTAAGCATTTTATCAGTATTTTTTCCCCAATTTGTGTTGGATTCGTGTGTTACTTGTGTTCGAGTTTAACTTTCGTGCTCTGTGCTCATTTATGACTGGGAGAAATCTGGTGTAAAAATTTGTGGTTTACTTCTCAGTTTTGTTTAATTCGGTGTTGTTCGGTATATTTAATTACTGTAGCTTCACTTAACTTGATTGAGTAATTTGTTTTCCTTTTCCGTAACTTATAATATAATTGAAGTGATGATATTTTTTTGTTAAGCAATATTTGATGGCTGAATCAAGTTTGTTAGAAAATGCTGTGGGATTCGTAAGAGAATGGTTTCATGAAGCGAATTCAAGATCATTACGTTCAAATCCAAATATTGGAAGCAATTAGAACTGTTTTGTTGTGTATGTTTATTAGATAAATTCCAATATTCTATTTTTTCTATTTAGAATGTACAACATTGATGAGGGTCTATATTATTAGTAAGGTGTTTGGATATGGAGTATTCTCAGAATTGTTAATTCTTGATCGCATCGGTAATTGTCACCTGCTCAGCAGATTCTCTCGTTATGCAACTTTCAAATATGCGATGATCTTCGAGAGGGCACATCATTTTATAGCCCTTTTTATTGTATTATATGGAAAGTTGCGTTATTCTTCTCAATGTTGGGCCATTTATTTTGAGGCAAAATGTCTGTTCATCTTTCTTGTTGTTAAATTAACTGCAATATTTATTCATTATGTTTACTGATAAAAATGTGCAATCTTTATTTCGTGGCTCTGAGCTTTGATTATCATTCAAACTTGATGTTCTAACTGTTAAAATATATTGCCGTGTACATTAGGTTGAAGAAGTGTTAGACAAGGAAAACTTCACATTGGAAGAGCTTCTTGATGAAGAAGAGATAATCCAAGAATGCAAAGCTTTGAATAGCCGCTTGATAAATTTGTAAACTTCCTCGCAGCTTTAGCTTATTATTTTAAAATCTGCAGTGCAGTTGATGGTTTCAGTTTGATAATTAATTGACATACTGTTTCCAGGGATGTAATTAATATCCTTACTAAATATTAGTTCCATTAATAATTTCGAAGTTCATTGAGAGACTACGATTTTGTGGTTTCAGTTTGAGAGATAGAGCTCAGGTTGAGCAGTTGCTGCGATACATTGTTGAAGTGCCTTCTGAGGATGCCGATAGCAAATGGAAGTTTAAGTAAGTTATGACATAACCAAGCTTCAATTATCATGTCATTATTTATTAAAATGTACACGTTCATCCAATATTTGAAAATCTGGAAGTACTTCTGAATGCTGTTTCATGCTGTAGGTTTCCTTTCATCGCATGTGAGATATTCACTTGTGAAATTGATGTCATCCTTAAGACCTTAGTGGACGATGAAGAGGTACTGTACTCGCAAGATGTAATTTTATGCACAAAAGATGCAGTTGTTCTGCTCTGATAATTTGGTCATTTTTCTATTGTGGTGCAGCTAATGGATTTGCTCTTTTCGTTCTTGGAGACCGATCGTCCTCATTGTGCGTTGCTTGCTGGGTATTTTAGTAAGGTATACTTTGATTCATCTACATCTGCCGTGTATGAAAAAATTCCTTTGTGCTATGTTGTTGAAATGTCATTTGGCTGATATTTTACATGGGTTTGATGCACACAGGTTGTGGTGTGCCTCATGTTGCGGAAGACTATTCCACTTATGAATTATGTCCAGGTTGGCATGATAAATTCTATGTATTTGGTACTTTGTACAGGCAATTTATATTTGTAGTGATCATTTTTAGCTTCTTTTTTCCTATGCAAATGCATGATGTGCTTGCTAAGATATGTTTTATCTGGTTAAAGACATATATGCTAGTAGAAGGATAAGTCAAGGTGTGCGAAAGCAAAAAAAAAAGAAACTAACTTTGTTTGGGAATTGAGGCATATGTAATTGATTGATTTTTCCGGCTAAGAAACAAAAGAAAATATTGTTTGCCAATTGAAGATTATGCATGTAGAATCTTTAACAAACTCTAGGAGCAACGTTTAAGAAGTTTGACTAGTATGATGTGATGAGCTAGTTCTATTTCTAACACATAAAGATGAAGATTATATAGTTAGGCAGTAGTTCAAAAAGAAGGCTGGGGGATTGGTTTACTTGTTACATCTACATGGATCTTATGTCAAACATAACCTGACTGTCTATGAGACATTTTCTTCCTGATGATGAAGGTTAACTAAATAGCGTGATGTTAACTTATAGAATCTTTAACAAACTCTAGGGGCAATGTTAAAGAAGTTTGACTAGTATGATGTAATGAGCTAGTTCTATTTCTATCACATAAAGATTAAGATTATATAGTTAGGCAGCAGTTTGAAAAGAAGGCTGGGGGATTGGTTTACTCGTTACATCTACATGGATCTTATGTCAAACATAACCTGACTGTCTATGAGACATGTTCTTCCTGATGATGAAGGTTAACTAAATAGCGTGATGTGAACTTATAAACACAATGGCATTCTTCATGTTATTTTCATGTTTGAAGCAACTTTATTTTTAGTGGTAACCATTGCATCTCCTTGATGCCTTTCTAATATGATTCAATTACTTCACTAAAAAAATTGTGGTGACTTCAATGTTTACTCAACTATTTACGTTACAACTTACAACTATAGATGGAGCCCCTCTTGGAATAAATTTTGCTTCAAGCCTCTTGATTATGTGAGGTATATTGGAGAAATGCTGACATAGAAATGAAGTTGATTTTATGTAGAGCACAGCTTTATGACACAGAGATTCTAGGTGTTTATGCTTTTTTTCCTCTTCCCCCTTCTAATAATCTGTATTTACATTGTTTCTTTTTGGTTGCAGACCCATCATGATGTTTTCCGCCAGATGGTAGATTTGATTGGTATTACATCCATAATGGAGGTTTGTAGCCTGGTTTTCCATTTTACCATTGACTACTATCTTTTTTATTTATGCTTCATTATTTGAAAATAGATTGAGAATTACTTAGCAAGAAAAACATTTTTCTCTGATGAGCTTTTTCTTATAGGTTTTGGTGCGACTTGTAGGCGCTGATATTTACCCGAACACCAAGGATGTCATGCAATGGCTGGCTGACAGCAATTTATTAGAAATGATTGTGGATAAATTGAGCCCCTCTGTAAGTCCAAAATAGATAATGTTTTTTTTTGCTTTGGTTATAGTGATATATAATATACTATGATTGAAATTACATAGATTGTCTATATATTGGGCATGTGGACTGTGGTGCATTAAGTACCGACGATTTTTCTGACATGATTCTGTCATTGTATTTTATCATTTGTTGTCTCCCTGTTTAATGTTATTTGTTGACAGTTTACTAGTGATCTATTACTGCTTGATTTACTGGTTTAAATGCTGGTTTGTTGCTTACTGAACAGTAAACAAAGCGTGCAATGACTTCCTTGACTTGGGAGCAGCAGGAGCGGTGATGTGCTTATATAGTTGATAGGAATTTTCTACTTTTAAGGCGCTAAGTTAAACGAAATTCCATCCGATTTCAGGAGATAGGACATACTACTATAGTTGATAGGAATTACCAATACCGGAGGCACTTAAATTAGATACAAAAACCTCTCAATTTTTTAGTTGCATGTTCCTTTAAGCTACACTGTAGATCATTTGAACTGGCTTTATTTCTGCCATCCTTTTCTTAATGATTGCGGATCACAGTCCAGATGTCAGGATGGCTAAATGCGATTGAATGATCTAGTCTTCTACTAAGTTGCTTTTGGCACACTTAGCTTAGAACATTTTTGATGTTGTGTTCTATTGTCCAGAGTTCTCCAGAAGTACATGCTAATGCAGCAGAGACTCTATGTACAATAACCCTAAACGCACCATCTCCTCTTGCTACTAAGCTATCCAGCCCAAGGTTTGTGGAACTTCCCTTGATATTTCCCTTAAAAGTTAGTTTTTTTACACTGCTGCTGATAGTAAATTATCATTTTTATTTCTACTGAGAATGAAATATCATCTGCACTTGTGCCAAGTAATTTATAACTGATAAGTTCTACAACTTTCTTTGGGTGTAGTTTTGTAGCAAGGATATTCAGTCATGCTCTTGAAGACTCACACTCAAAGTCCGCCCTTGTCCATTCATTATCTGTATGCATATCTTTGCTGGATCCTAAAAGATCAATTCCATCTCCCATGATGTATTCTTACCGCTGCCAGCATGTTTATGAGTCATCTGTGTGTGTCAATCCTGAGACTATAAGTGCAATGCTGCCCAATTTCGGTAACTTTCCTGTTTAGAAATATGTACGCATATTTGAATTGCGGCATACTTGTTCAAATGACTTTCTACCCTTTGGAAATTATATTAAAATTGTGTAGAAAGTGTGGGTAGTAACTAGTAAGGAAGTACGAACGCACAGAGCCATCAGATAACAGGCCACAGAAGAAACATAATGCTAATATTAGTGATTTTTGCTGATGATTTTTCTGTCCCATCTCTCATTATGAAAGTTAATATATGTCATATTTGACACAGGCAACTTGCTAAAGCTGTTGAATGTATCATCTGATGACAAGGTTCTGCCTACAACATATGGTGAACTCAGGCCGCCTCTAGGGAAACATCGACTAAAGGTTTGCTTATTTGCATCTTAGAGAAAAAGAGTTAATCGTTTTTGTATCCATACCCAACTTTATAGCAATCCCTGAGAAGGATATGCCAAGCTAGAAGTTCCATTGCTATAGCGTTAGTTAATAGTTTTCAAGGATCAACTGTTCTTATGTGTTGCAAGCAGTTGTAAAGTCCACTTGTAAAACTTGGTGGATTTGTTGTCATGTATTTTCCAACTACTAATCTTTGGCTAGTAGCTGAGAAAAGCATACTGACATGAAATCACATGTAATGCCTGTCTGCATCCACGAGGACTGTATTTATTGGGTTGATAATCTCGGCTGATTCTTCTTTTGTTTGTATCTTAGACCGGTTTTCTTCTTTATTGTAGATAGTGGAATTCATTTCTGTGCTGCTAAAAACTGGCAATGAAGTTGCAGAGGATGAATTGATCAGTTCTGGGACAATTGAGAGAGTCCTGGATCTCTTTTTTGAGTAAGATTCTGCCTATGCTCCTGTACTCTCGAACACGGTGTACAAAAGTGATTGATCTTGCATTGTTCACTTTCTTACTTGTTTCTTGTTTGATGTTCTAACAAGTTGGATAATTGCTGTATAGGTACGCATTTAACAATGCATTGCATCATCACGTAGAGAGTATAATAAACTCATGCTTGGAAAGCAGAAACAGTGTCCTGGTCGATCATCTTTTTGAAGACTGTAATTTGCTTGGAAAAATTCTTCAAACGGATAAACAGCCCACAGTTTCTGGCAGTGAAAGTCAGGTTGATTTTAGTGAAGTAACTGATTTCCTTCTCTTTGATGTTTATAGGTCTTGCAAATTTATGTCCTCTTGTTCTTTTATTGTTGTCTCTACTTTTTCTATGGAATATGAATATTCAATAATAACCTTGTATTCTCATTGCAAATAATGATTTAAAATGTTTAATTGTGCTTTTCAATTGATGCAGCCCACTTTTCCTGCTACTGGTAAACAAGCACCCCGACTGGGTAACATAGGGCATCTAACACGGATTGCTAACAAACTTGTACAGTTGGGAAGCGATGACAATCGCATTCGAGGACATCTAGAGGTGAGTGCTACGGTGATAGCCTTAAAATTTGTTACTCATACGTTTCATGGAAGTTTGATACTGAAGATTTCCAAATCTAATTGCCAAAAGGTCCTGAGGCTGTAACTGTTAGAACTTACTATGTATATCTAAGCAGTTATTTTCTCAAGAGAGCTCCATGATGGATGCGGACAAATAATTCTGAACATACTATTCCCCAAAGTAGAAAAAAATGTATAAGATTGAAGCTTGGTTTGTATTTGCGTTCTTGGGGAGGACGCAGTTCCATGGTTTTTTACTATTTATGATTATAAATAAGGTTTTATTTAAGCAACAACAACAACATACCGAGTATAATCCCACAAAGTGGGGTCGGGGGAGGGTAAAGTACCTTACCCCTACCTTAGAGGTAGAGATAGAAAGGCTGTTTCCTATGGTTTTATCAAGCATTTATTTTTTCTTCAAGAGTTGATATTCATTTTGTTAAACTAAAATCCACCCTCATTTTATTTTAATGGCTGTATATTTTGAGTTGAGGGTCTATCAGAAACAACCTCTCTACCTTCATAAGGTAGGGGTAAGGCTGCGTACACACCACCCTCCCCAGACCCCACTTGTGCGTACACACCATTACTTTTCTCACTTTCTATCGCTATTGTTGGCTTTTGATTATAATTGTGTAGCTGGGGTTGGCGCAAGATGGTTTTACATAGTATTCCCTTCAATTACTTTTATCTGGCATATGATTTTGTGCACAAGTTTCAGCTCCGCTTCTGCTAATGGGTTCTCTTTACTCCAGAAAAATATGGAATGGAGTGATTGGCACACTACTGTCTTACAGGAGCGTAATACACTCGAAAATGTCTATCGATGGGCTTGTGGGTATGCTTCTGCCTCTTCTGATTTAACTTGAACTTTTTGGGATGTTAGATTTTGATTTCTGTAATATGAGGTAGACCGTAACAAAATTTTGTTTGGATGAAGCAATAACTTGGGAAACGTACCTGCCATATTTTCATAAATATTATCACTGCCTCTAATAGTGGAAGTACATAATTTAGAAGAATAAATGAAGAGATGTTGAGGGTATGAGAGAACAAAGATATTTAAAGTAAGCAACTACTTTAAAAAGTTCTCCCATATTATTTCTCTTTAGACAATAGACATACTGTTGGTGTCATAACAAGCACTCTCTTTGTTACTCTTTGTAGTTCAATGTTTGAATTTTCAAATATTAGGAGGGATTTAGAAAAATAGGTCAGAGAAGAAATGGCTGGGTTAAGGTTGAATAAAGGGGATAAAGATGTGCTTTGTTGGTCTCAAGCTGACATGAATTGTCCTTTTATAAGTTGTAGTACTGCTTAGATCTCTTACAAAATGGGCTGGTGGATTTCAACTGAATTTCTTAAAATCAAGAAGTGAAAAGCACCTTCGGAAATATACTTATTAAGTGATTGTAAGATGAGCTTATGCTTTTTCACCTCCTCTCATAGGCTTCCTTGGTTTCTGCAGCAAGTACAATAGCAACTATGCCTCAATCCCTAGCTAGCTGGGGACGGTTAGCTGTGTGAACCCTTAATAGCATAAATGCTCTAAGGGTTCTCTAATAATACATACTCCAATGGTTATATCTCTAATATACTAAAGAGTTTTCTAGTTCGTGTCACCTATATATGGATTTTCAACTTTCTTTTTTGTGTATAAGCAGCCGGCCAACTGCATTACTAGATAGGACAAGAGACAGCGACGAGGAAGATGTTCATAACAGAGATTATGATGTAGCAGCTTTAGCAAATAATCTGAGCCAGGCATTCCAGTACACCATATATGATAATAATGGCGCTGAAGAGGTAAGCATTGTATACCTTCTAGTTTGAGGATTGAGGGGTGTTGTTGTCTGTTGGTAGAGGAGGGCAAAAGGAATCCATGATCTCAGGGACAGTGCTCTGCAGCCCCAACTCAGCTTTTGGGCTGTGGATTGGGATTTAGTCTAGCTTTTGATTCCTTTGTGGTTTTTCTTGCATGTTAACAGGGTCATGGAGCTCTTGATCGAGATGATGAGGTAATAATGTTTTCCTTAGTTAACTTGTCTTCTTTTTTGATATGAAATGGAATAGTTAGATAGCATGGCGAACTGAAGACGAACTTGTGTGATATTCACTTATCTATTTTTCGGTATCATATGCCTAGTGTTCATCACAACGCTACATTCATGTTACTGTAGGATGTATACTTTGATGATGAGTCTGCTGAAGTTGTCCTGAGGTTGGGAGATGAGCAAGGGAGGTGAGTTCTAGCTGTCCTGGCTACAAAGTTATTATCATCTGTCAGTTTCTTGGCATCTGGTATTATCTGCACTTTTTATCATGTATAACAGTTTTTTTTTAAAAAAACTTTTGCAGCAATTTGTTCACAAATTCGGATTGGTTTGCTTTTCGAGATGATAGAACTGGAGATGATTCCAAGAGTACCTCACCTACTGAAGTGATGGAAGACATTAACCTTAATGGAACAACAAATGGTGGTAATAGCAATAGTGATGATGAGGTGGTAGTTGGAGAGCAGGAGGAATTGACTGAGAGAAAATCAGATGTAATGCCCAGTTCTAGTTCAGATGCTTTTAATGGAGTTGGTGGAGCCGATTCTGCTAATGGTGGAGACTTCAATCAACAAAAAGATAAAGCAGATGTGTCAGGTGATGGGGGTTTCTTCCATTTTGAGAAGTCAGACAGTGATGACCCATTTGGAGACAGGCCTATACCTGAATGGGTTGCATGGGGAAATGGCTCAGTTGGTGGATCCGTGAATCCCTTTGAAGATAATGGTGACTGTAGCGGAAATCTTGCAAATTCAGGGGAGGCAGTAACTCCCTCGATTAGTTCCACTTCTTGCAGTGGTGGAGAGTCTATTCCAAATGGCGTATCTACATCTCCTGATTCTAACAAAAGTTCATCGGGATCTGATTCTAGTAAAAAAGCAGCAGCCCCTGTGCCTTCTTTGTTTGAAGAGGATGTTGAATTTGTTGGTGTAGAATTAGAGGGTACTGAAAAGGCAATGGAACATGCTCTTAAGGAAGGGATTGTTGGGGAAGCGGCTCCATTGAAAAGGAGCTTAGTCCCTAAGATGCCAGAAAAGGATAATACAGATGAGGGCGGGTCAGGAGTGAAAGAATTCAATGATGCAAACTATTGGAGAGTTGACCAAGAAGTCACAGTACAGGAATAACTGGGGAATTCAGTTGACCTTTATCTGAATTTAGAAACACAGCTGATACGCAGGGTACTCATTTTCAGTTTGGTGAGACTATACAGGCGTACAGTGTACTTTGTGTTTCAATTGGGATCGACACAAGGATAACATATTGGTTGTTACTGATTTTTTATTGTTCCACTCTGTCCAGGTTTCCTTTTCATTAGTGAAAATTTTGGTTTCTCAATTCTCAATATGGCATATTCATTCGAATTTTGGAGTCTTGTAGTAGTTGTATGGATTCTGGAGTTATTTCAATTATCAATAACACTCTTTCTTTGCTAACTATCCAGTTAAAGGCACATTTGTGGGATGCTGATTGAAACGACTATCGTCCTGCTTGTCTGTCTCATGCTATGATTGGAATTTGGATGAAATTGTTCTATCTTCAGCGTGGGGGTTTCGATTGAATAGAGTCAAGGTAATTATATATAAAACCTGCCAGAATAGTCCATAGTTCTAGCAATTGGGTTAAATGTAGTAGGATGACAAGGTCTAAATGATACACTTCTGGAAATGTAAAATTTATTTTCAAGAAGTTGTGAAACAAATTTTTTATTTGAAGTTAAAAACTTGTGTTAACTTGCATACTTCAAATCAAGTCGTTCTTATAACTGTTTTGTCTAAAGGTGATATGTAAGCCAATTCATTCATAGGGACGGGATAAGGGCTAAAGAAAGAATCATAGATCAAGTTCTCAGCCGGAACTTCTAAATCACAGGTTGAGATTGTAACTTAATTTAAATACATTAATTTCAGGTCGGCTTAATCAAAAGTAGTAGCTCGAATTCTTACTGTCTTTAGTCTGAAGTAGCATCATCAAGAATATCTTACCTCGGAGCTATGAAGTGAAGAGTTCAAATATGCGTATAGGTATCGGGTAACCCCTCTTTCGGGCTACAGACGCTTCCGTACATCCCCGAATGTACTCTTAACTACTAAGACAAATTCCCTCCCACCTCAAATATTTTGAAAAAAAGGATAGTGGTGTAAGTATATTAATTTTACTTAAATACTCAAATTATGATATGTTTCAAATAAATATATAAACACATAATAACGTTTTTTATTCAATATTTTTGAGTCATATTGAACTTTCTTGTGTGTTCACAAACTAATATATAAATAAGTTAATCACATAAAATATGTTTCTTTCTATAATTATACACATCATCAATTATCATCAATTGAAATATGTCTGAGGTTTTATGACTTATTAAATCTAATACATGTAACTAAATTCGCCTTTTCAAAATTTTGAGTCTCAAGTGTTTAACAAAAACACTATTTACTTAACTTGAACTAAATATTCTGTCCTTTTCTTTGAAGGACAATAACGTAATTACCTGTTACGAGTAACCACGGTAAAAATACTAGAATTTTACCATTCTATGGGTAAAGAGATATATACGTATATATCGCGAGTTGAGACAACAATATCTCGGGAGAAATGGGTTAACTTTATCCAAAAAAGATTTTTTTAAAAAAAGAATAATTAGAGTCTAGAGACGTACACGTCTAATTGTGTTGCCGTTTATGCCCCAAAATAGGGTGGGGGTGGGGTCCGCCACACGAATTGAATTGTCACCAAATCTATGTCGTTTAGTGGTCCCTATCTTAAATAACAAAAAATTTATATAACGACTATTTTTAGCTCAACTAAAATTATTTTCGATTTTAAAAAAAAATAAATATATTACTAGTATATACATAAAATATAAATAATTTATATCTTAAGTATGTTAGACATCAATTAGCATAGAGTTCACTTATATATTTTTTAACAAATATTTTGTAAGAAAACATATATTTTTGTAATGAATACACGTACGTCTATTATTTGACGTAATTTGATTTCAGATTTTAGTAGAAAGAATTTTCTGAATAGTTTTTGCATATGCAAACAAATGTTTCTTATAACAACTTGGCCCTCATGTGGCTTAAGGAGACAAAACATGTATAACTTTGATTCAACGACAAAATGGTAAAATAAGTCATAGTTTTGGAAACACAATGTTATTGTTTTGAGCTGAATTTGATGAAACAAAATTAAAGCAGAACATGACTACATGAGGAGTTTGATCATTCAACGTGTTTGTAGGATCTCATTGAAAAACCCCAAAAAAATAAATTTAAATATTGGGATGATCAAAATTGTTGCCTTATATTATGGTCTTCTGTTCCCAATCCATTGACCCAAGTTTGCCCCTAAGATTAGCTATTTAGTTTAAAGAAATAATCACACATTAATATTTATAGAATTAAATTATAACTATGTGTAACATCTGCGTGTATATATTCTAATAATCTCTTCAAATTTAATTTATACAATTAAATTAGGTATATTATTATTGTTGTTGTAATCAACAGAGAGTGGCCTTTTTATGAATTAATCTAGTAAGTCCTACTACTATTTCCATTTTAAAATAGTAGTCACATATCGTTTCTTGAAGTTGATTGGATTAATTTTCGTATCTTAATTGAATTGATTCAATGTTTTAAAGTTAACATTTTAATATTCAAAAACTACATTAAAAAAAATATAAGTTGCAACTCTTATATATCAACATTATGAAAAAAATATTAATTAAAATTGAAGCGACTTAACTCTAAAAATTAACTATGATAAAATTTTGGAACGAAAGAAATAGTTATGATCACATTTTTCAGTTGTCTGCTGATGTATTTGTTTACAATGTTTATTTATTTGGGGTTAAGGTTGTTTCATTTCTACAAAAACAAGGGGATCCTATATATGCTGAGTCGACAACATCATGTTCAAGCTTATGGGATTCAAATTATTAACCAATAAATGATGCATTATTTCATAAACTTAATTATTAAGAGTACTGCACGATGAGCTGCATTTTCAGAGGATAAACTAATAATGTTAGTAAGTAGTTTTAGTCAAATAAGCTATTAATGGGTATAGATTAGCCAACTTTTCTTAGAATTAATGTATAAAGTTACGGATTTAATAGGTACATAATAAATTTGATCTTATAATATAACTCTTTTTCGAATAAAGTATAGCAAAAGCTTAATGAACCGAAATAGGCGATCCTTCTTGTCCAACACCCTCACGTGTGCACCTGCAATGCAATCGTCAGGTTGTTTGTTTTAGATAAAGTACATATGCTGATGAGACGAAACCAAAGCCTGTCCTCACCTTTCTGTTGCTTCTTCATCGGGATCTGTTCCAGTTAAACACTATACGCGTAAATAAGATTAAGCCATGTGTTTTTTTTATGAATCGGAGAAACAAAGGGTTGAATCATAATACTCTGAAAATACAGAATCCCCTGTATTCTGATTTAAACTTCGTAAGCAGAAGACGAGAGTATTGATGTGGAAGAAATACATATAACAAATTCACACATGAATAAAGTTGATGTGTTTTTGATAAAAAATACCACCACTAACATGTGGTTACATCTTAGCAAAATATGGTAAACAGAACGATCACTACATTATTTCCAACATAAAGAAAACTGAAACATCCTCAAAACATATCCAAGTTCTACTACTAGTGCCCTTTCAAATTACATAAAGCAGTCTATGATTTCTTAGGAACTCAGAGGCAGATACTTATTCATGACGTAGACAAGAAACGATAATTTTATTCGAAAATGCTAAAGGATCCATCCTGCCTGGTTTGAAGAATCTAGACAACATTGAGGATTGGCAGGTCAGTGAGCCATTTCCTGAAATATAAGATTTTAAGCATTAATCACAATGTGCCAATTCCCTTAGTAATGAACGTCATAGAACAAATGCACAATATATGTCTTAACAATTATTCTTGAAATCTTCGTAAAAAGACAACAGTCGCATGAGGAAGTATTCAGTTACTAACAATTACCTTGTAGCATTGTTGCCAGATTTCTTCAAAATTGTCAGTCTTTTTGCAGTCTTGATGAAGTCACTGCATTAGAAATCCGAGGAGAACATCGATAAGAACGTTTTACTAGAAAAATATCTTGACATGAATGAATTCAAGAATAGGAAGTACTGGAAGTAATAAATACACCTGAATGGTTCATCTCCAATTTGTTTAGATGCACCTGTTGCATCTAGATAGAGCACACGGGTCACCATATCTAATCTTTCCATCTCAAACATGTCTGCAAGTCTTTTATACAGCTCTGCATATGATCCTAGAACTGAGAGATCAAGAGTACGTCCTACGTCCTCTGAATCTAGGAATACTTTGCAGTGATCAGTACTCGTGCCAAGTTCAGCTGCGTGATAATCTTTATTCCAAAGAAATGTAGTGCTTGATAGACTTTCTGAAAGGCATTTCCAGCCTTGAGAAATTCTTTCAGTTTTCAATTGTGCCCAATCGGAGTCTCTTTCTGCTTGGACTTGTGGAGGAGCATGAGTAGCGAGGACACTTGACATTTGCTGCTCAGTGAGAATTGGTTGGCCAAAGAGTAAAAACCGAGGTGTCTTCACATTATCAGCTTCCTCCATCTGACTAGACGTACCCATGGTAAGCAAGCAAGATACATTTTCATTGCTCTCTTTTTGGACCTTACTTGTGCCAATAGGAATTTCAGAATCAGCATCAACTTGTTGGGAAGCGGGTGGTTGTAGCACACCTAACTGCAGCTTTTCGCTACGGTGGAGATTTAATAAAGGTACTCCAAATTGAACATGCCTGGCTCCCTGTATGCCTGCAGTACTGTTGTCAGATGGGTAACAAAAAGGACTGCTAAACCTGAGGGGTTGCCTGAAAATGAAGGTAATGGAAATTGGCGGTCAAGTGCAAACTCTTGTGGCAAACACAACCGTTTCCTTGGTGGTGAGAAGTGTGACAAGTTAATGTCGGGCATATTAGAGACCAATTCGACAAGCCATGGGTTTACAGATTTTACATTCTGCAACAAATCTGGTTCATCCCATGTCACCTGCAGTATATCACAGAGAGAAGTTTATAAACAAAACTACAACTAAATGTTACCACTGGAGACACTTTAATGGTACTGCACAGCATAAAGATCGATCTTAGTATTGGTTTCTCAATTATTCGAATATCCCCTTGCTAAATAGGAAAGAAAATAAAAACAAATGAATGTAAATAACACAATATGTCTTTACTAAGTTAAGTACCATTGTTAATAGATACTAAATAAAGGGTTAGAATACACATTAGTTAGGCAGCATTAAGTGAAAAATGTCATGCGTTTGATGTAAACACCGTATGCAAGTCAATTCTTTTTTGTCCAAGAGCTATTTCAGCTGGCAAATTGACATTGATAAGCAGTTATACATTGGTCCATACAGAAAACTGAAAGTGGCTGCATTACCTGAAGAAGCCGCCACGGTGAATGAGGCCAGCGGATGGGGTCAACAAGCTGAACCGAAGATATACTTCCCATGAACCAGCTGATCCGAGAAGAATCCTCAGTTTCAAAAGCCATTTTGAACCTCATCCCTGAGCACCATTGGACTCTCATTGCAGCATGCACAGAAGAGGCCCTAACACAAAATTCTGGAGTGCTTGCACCAGGGTAGTAAACAATTTCAAAAGGCTGGCCACTAGCAGCGAGATATGAAGCCCTAACAACTTCATCAGGGCTCACTTTTCCCTTACCTCTAAATCTCCCACCATAAGAAATCAGATTTTCATTACTACAACTTCTAATCATACTGTTCTCGTCTTCCGTCAAAAATCCACCATAACTACCAGTAGTTGAGTTCCACCCTAATTGTGTTTCCGGCCCACCAATACCACCCCGCTTTACCCTGCGAATTCCAACACAAACCTCATCATTTTCTGCCTTGAGGAACACAACAGAGTCCCCTGCAACCAGCTTCTTCTTATTGACAAATGCACTCCAACCACTAGTCAACAAATGCCTCCTTGGCGTGCCCCTATAAATGTGCCTAAAATTCCAGGTTTCACCATGAACATCCTTTGCCTTTACTACTTGGACAGGCGGATCAGCTTTGAGATCCAATTTGGGGAAAATTGTCTCTGCACAATACCTCGGAGCTGAAAAACCACCCCCATTATTCGCATCTGATTGAGTCAATGTCTTAGCAAAGAAAGTAGGCTTCTCAGTTTTTTCAACCACACTGTCATCTTCAAAGTCTTCAACCGGAATAAGCCTAATTTTCGCATAAACTTCATCAGTTTCAGTGTCAGCTAAAAACTTCACAGCATCAACTCTGCATAGAATCATCGCAGGAATTCTCGGCAGTAGAGTGAAATCAACATTTGTATATGTATGCTCAGCATGACCTTGTGGGAAATAGAACACCTTAGAGTTCACCGGAGGAATTTGCACCATACTTCCTGTACAGGCATGCCAAAACTGAGAGTCCACACACTTCTCTTCCACCACCTCCATTTCACCACTCCTACAATTTTGCAATACCAAAAACCAAATTCAAGAAAAACAAAATAAATTACAGAAACATAGTGCAATAAACCTGCACAATTCCCTCTTCAAGCTTTAAAAAACTCCTACATGATGATTTCAGAAATAAAATGAGACAAACGTAGCTGTTCGGATCTGAAACAGAAATGGGAGAAAGGGGAAGAGAAAAGACACAGACTGTTAAGATGTATCGTATTATGGGCAGGAGATATTTGACATACTGCGAGATAATGGGTAACCTCTTTTTTACCGCAGACAATTTACTACAGATATACTTATTTATCACGGTAAAAAAGTAAAAAATAAACCATCTAGAACGGTAAAATTGACTGAATTAATCCCACCAAATTTATTTTATCACTAGATAATGTTGCCCGTGCTATGCACGGGGCCAATAATATAAATGGTATATTTTGGGGCTAATAACCGAGTTTTTGAAGCGATTGTTTGCGTGGATTAAGGAATAAGTTTTTTATCACAAACCTGTACTTTCTTTGACGTTATTTAAGGCATAATAAGAATACCCACATACAACATTTTTGAAATATTTTATGTTGTCAATTATCATGATTTATAGTATTTTTACGTAATTTTTAAATATAAAAAAAATAAGACAAATAAATTAAAATGGACCCAATATATGTTATTTTTTTTGTCTCAATTTATGTGACACAAATGAAATTTGGAGGGCCGTCCAAAATTTCATATTTTTTTTTAAATGTTTGAAGTTATTAATTATTGTGATTTATAATATTTTTATGTAACTTTAAAATAATGTACAGTACTGGTTACTTTGTCATAATTTATGTGACATGGATAAAATTACAAAATTAACCCTTTTAAAATGTCTTTCAGAAATTTTAAGTTGTTAATTATTATTATTTATAATACCTTTTTGGTAATATTAAAATGATATGTGTTATTTTTTCTGTCCCAATATATGTGAGCCTGATAGAATTCTGAGAGTCAACCTATGTTATTATATAACTTTTAAATATTTTAAATTGGTAATTATTGTAATTTTTAATCCTTTTTAAGTCATTTGTAAATGATATATGTTGCTTCCTTGATTGAGACTTTTCCATTTGTGAGATATATATATATATATATATATATACATATCGTGCTATGCACGGGCCCAATAATATAAATGGTACGTTTTGGGGCTAATAACCGAGTTTTTGAAACGATTATTTGCGTGGATAAAGGAATAAGTTTTTTTTTATCATAAACATGTACTTTCTTTGACGCTATTTAAGACATAATAAGACTACCTACACACAACATTTTTGAAATATTTTATGTTGTCAATTATCATGATTTATAGTATTTTTATGATAGATTCACTTCAAGAATCAGTGAAATTTTTTGTATTTTTTTTCAAAACATATTTTATGTTGTCAATTATCATGATTTATAGTATTTTTACGCAATTTTTAAATATAAAAAAATAAGACAAATAAATTAAAATGGACCCAATATATGTTATTTTTGTTGTTTCAATTTACGTGACGCAAATAAAATTTGGAGGGTCATCGAAATTTTCATATATTTTTTTAAATGTTTGAAGGTATTAATTATTGTGATTTATAATATTTTTATGTAACTTTGAAATAATGTACATTACTGGTCACTTTGTCCTAATTTATGTGATATGGATAAAATTACAAAATTAACCCTTTTAAAATGTCTTTAAGATATTTTAAGTTGTTAATTATTATTATTTATAATACTTTTTTGGTAATATTAAAATGATATGTGTTATTTTTTCTGTCCCAATATATGTGAGTCTAGTAGAATTCTGAGAGTCAACCTATTTTATTATATAACTTTTAAATATTTTAAAGTTTTTTAAGTCATTTGTAAATGATATATGTTGCTTTCTTGATTGAGACTTTTCCATTTGTGAGGTATATATATATATATATATATATATATATATATATATATACATATTCTATATTATTTTAAAAGAGAGTTTATGTCCAAGTTATACTATATAATAAATATAATATATAATATTCAAGAAAGTCTCAATCTTGAATATTATATATTATAGTTGGGTATAAACTTCCTTTTAAAAGTCCCACAAATATAATATATAATATTCAAGATTGGGAAAAGTCTCAATCTTGAATATTATATATTATAATTGCGCCTAAACTCTCTTTTATAATATAGTAGAATTGTTGATCTCTTTTTTTTTTTTTTTTCCATCTAAGTACTTGAATTTAGGTGTGCATTAGACCATTTCCAACCCCACTTTATTTTACTCTTTATTTTCTATATTTGGAGAGTAAGATAGAGAATTGAGTCTCCAATCACTTTCTAAAAAGCTCTCTATTCTCTATTTATAAAGAGGTGAATATTATTTCACTTTTTCATTATTTTAATATTATTCCTACTATTTGTAACTAACATATTATTTCTCATATAAGGTTATTAATTAAATTTCTAATATTCGTAATTCTTTTTAAATATAATATAACATTTTAAAAAATGTATATTATGTAGTATATACTACTTTCAACCCGAATTAACAATATTTTAAATATATTTTTTTTTCAATTTTCGTCCCTTTAAGTGATAATTTGATATTATTATTGATTTTCACTATGAAGAATGCACAAATTTAAAAGATAAAATGAAAATTTTAATTTAAAAATACAATACATGACATAATAATTTAAAGGGATAAGAGTCTGAAAAATACCCTAACTTTGGTTGAATATGCTGTTGCAATACTAAACTTTCATGAGGACCTATTGCCTCCCTAGACTATTTAATACCGTATTTTAAACATATATATTTGCCCACGTGGACATAAAAAATAATGCAAAATTATAAATAGTAATGTGTCCACGTGGGCACATATATACCTTTAAAATACACTATTAAATAGTTCAGGGGGGGAAAAATACGGTATTAAATAGTCTAGGGAGGTAATAGGTCCTCATGAAAGTTTAGTATCGCAAATCTAACCAAAGTTGGGGTATTTTTCAGACCCTTATCCCTAATTTAAATACAAGATAACAATACAATACATAACATAATGATTTTTAAAATCAGAACAATAATTTAGTAATCCGGTAGGTCATTTTCAGATTTAACACTATTCGGTAAAAAGATAGTGTATGATCTAGAGAATTGTTGTGGTTGTGCTTGTGATTGTGGTTGTGCTTGTTGATTTCTTTTTTTAATTTTTCGTAGTTGTTCTTTAAAATTTAGAATAAAATATATTTTTATACTAAAGCATTGATATATTGGGAATTGATTTTTTTTTTTAAAAAAAGACTAGCTATAGATTTATTAAATCAAATCAACTTTCTCTCAACTTATTAATGTAAGTTCGCTCCTTTTTAAAATGATGAATGAATAGCTAAATCCTCTTTGGAAGGATATTTTGTAACTAAATTTAGATGTAATTGGTGTAGTTATATTTTGTAATTAAATTTTAGATGTAATTGTTGTAGTTATGTAATTTTGGATCGTTCATCTAATAAGTAATTACTTGATCAGCATAGTAATTGAGGGGAGCAATTTTACAATATCTATACTCTCAAAGGTGGGATGAGCATTCCTGATAATTCCATGTTATAGTAACTATTAAATGATTTTTCGATTTTTCTTTTTATTTTAAAAAAATAATATTATAAAATTTACATTCTTTGTCTATGTAGATAAGATAATTTGAAGATATTGACCCAAAGAATTTGATCCATGGAGACCACCACAAAAAGAAATACTGTAGTAGTTCCAAGATGAAATATCTAAAAAATAATATTCATCTAGTTTAGATTTTACATGAGAGAAGAAAACTAACTTCCTACCTACCCTTTTTGTATGTACATCGAAAACAACGATGAAGTAAATTAAGCACCTAAACTAAAACTATAGTCATCTCTTTAAAAATATTCATCTAACAAATAGCTACCCAGAGGAACAAAGTTTTGGCTGTCACATTCAACTGTTTTTCTTCTCATTTCTACGACTTTCCTGTGAGAGTTTGAGTGCAAAGATGGAATGAATGTGGGACTAGCAGCAGGTCGATACTCTGGGAGTAGGCGTCCAGAACGATAACGAACTCCACAGGCATTGCATAGGGTCTTTGGACCCAATGGTCCTTCCCTCCATTGTGGTGTCTTTGTTACTTCACAATGTGTGCACCTTTTAAATAAAGGTGACAACGCCATGGCACTTGATAATTTTCTCTTATTTTCCTTTCCACTTTTGGAATCAGAATTCTTCTTGGCTGCAGAAGTTGTACAAGGCATGGGAGCCATCATAAGCCATGGATTCAAAGTTGATGATCGTGCACGCTTGGAGCGACGGCCTTTAGATCCAAAGTTGAAGGATATTGCACTCCTTCCACCAGAACAGGAGCGGTTGTTCTCCAGGACAGAAATTGGACTTCCTGTCTGGAATAGAGCATTCCCTTGGGACTCCAGAAATTCGTTCTGATAGGATAACATCGAGTTAGAATGCTACCACTCGACTATAAGGGATTAAACAAAAATATTGAGAGACAAAAGAATGAAGTTTGAGAGTTCAATTTTCCAACTTTGTCACTGTATAATTTTGAACACATTGTGAAGGTTTAAAAATTCACATAAGCATTCCACAAGGAGGAGAATAAATTTGATATTAAACAACCAAGTGTTATCAAAGACGAAAGGTGAAGGCTTCTGCTCTGAGATCCGTTGGGGATTTAAGCACAAAGAAGTGTGGCATATATGAGAAAAAACATAAATATATATGTATGTGTCGTCCAAAACTAATCATTATAAGCATGAATAACAAAAGTATCGTCTCTTTATGATTACACTCATTAGCATGAAAAAGTATGTCTTAAAAACTTGATGACGATACTGAAGCATCCGTTTAGCGAAGCTAAGAGCTCAATATGTTTTGAACTTCGATTTTAGAGAGATTGTTCATCGAGTCACACAAAGACAAGCAAAAAGAGAATAAAGGAAGAGAGAATTAATAACCAATAGGTACATATAATACAATCTTACAATGTCATCCTTCAACATGATAAATTGACTATGGAGCTTTAGTAGTCAAGGTAAGCATACATTAATTACTTATCAATATCTTGTCTTTTCTTTGTATTTGTACGAAAACAAGTTTGTTAAAAGAAAACAAAAGTAGAGAAAACAAGTTTCAAAAGTGTATTTCCACGTTAATTATCTTTTAACCAAATTCCATCACATCACATTTCACCCACCCTTGTCCTCATAGCCCCATACCTTGCTTTATTGTTATATAGCAAGGAGCAACACACATAGTTTTTGAAATTAATAAAATAAACTAAGTTAAACCGGTCAACGAGACAAAAAGTAAATTCATAAGGGAGTAACAAATCCACAAATGTTGAGATATTCCATTGTTACACAAACTATCAAAATTTTCTAAAAGTATTTAAAAATAAAATTAAAAGTTATTTCAAAGTTAAGACATTATCTTTTTAAATTTAATAATTAATTTGAAATTGAAATGTTTCTGATGTTAAGACACCGCATATCCCATTCTCCCCGCGAAACACATATACTAATAGACACTAGTATCATCTTAATATTCACCAAGAAACCATACCCCATTCTCGTTGGGGAACACCGGAAAAAATAGACACTAACATCTTAATATTCACCAAGTTCACCAGCTTCATCTACTTCCAAAATTTCTAACTACATAGACAAACACAAATCATTCTAGTCCCAAAGTTTTCATTAACAATATGTTACAGTGAAATTTCAACCAAACAATTTTATTCAACCATATTAATTTTATGAATTATTTTGCAATCAAGAGTAATAACATATTATCATAAATTATTTTGCAATCAAGAATGAGGTATGGTTGATTAGCTTTTAGCTTTGAATTTCCAAGCAAGAATTTCATTATCTCCAAATGTATGTTTATATAGATTAATGTACGATACACAATCCGACAAATGTTTAGATATTCGATAAGTTATTATTGGTTATTGTTTTAAATTTGTTTTTCAAGTGAGTCAATTGTTAAGCAAACTATTAAAACTATCAAAATTATTCTAAAAGTATTTAAAAATATGAATTTAAACTATCAAAATCATTCTAAAGTCTAAAAGTATTTAAAATATAATTTAAACTATGAAGTACAAAACTATTTATTCTATCTCCCCCACCCAACTCCTATCCTTAACTATCACATCCGTGCCACCTCTATCCTCAACTATCACGCCCGCCCAACTCCTATCCTTAACTATCAAACCCGTGCCACCTCTATCCTTAACTATCACACTCGCCCAACTCCTATCCTTAACTATCAGACCCGTGCCACCTCTATCCTTCACTATCACACCCGCCCAACTCCTATCCTTAACTATCCGCCCCGCCCAACGCCTATCCTTAACTATCCGCCCTACCCAACTCCTATCCTTAACTATCACACCCGTGCCACCTCTATCCTTAACTATCACACCCGCCCAACTCCTATCCTTAACTATCAGACCCGTGCCACCTCTATCCTTAACTATCCGCCCCGCCCAACTCCTATCCTTAACTATCACACCCGTGCCACCTATTACTACAAAGTAGATTTTTTTGAAAAAGAAGAAAGATAAACCAAGGCCAAGTTAAAACTCACAGGAGCATTGGTCATACGACGATCCTCCAAACAGCTATTCGCAATATCCAAAGGTAAACTCATAAGAGTTTCCGAAGGAATTGGCCCAAATAATTCACCATATACGGTCGCATCCCAATCTTCCTCGAGTACGTCTGCTTCCAAATTTTGCATTGAAAAATCCAAACCATTCAGTATGCTCTCAAAGTCTTCATCAACCACATGCTCCATTGAAATTCCATCCATATAATTTTGTTCAACCATATTAATCTTCTGAGTAATATATACAACACAATAAACAGTAATTAGAACTATATATACTATTACAAAAAGTATGTGCAACCAATGGAAAAGTCTAATTTTGCAAACAAGAATTTGTATACTTTATTTATACACATGCATAATCCATGTCTCTAATATCTCACCTTTTATCACTGCTGTAATATGTGAAACCTAAATTGCTAAGTTCAAATTAAAGAAATTAAAAGGAAAAAGTAGTGCTATATACATGTATATATAGTGTAGGTTTATTATGTAACGTATTCAAATATTATACGAAGCATACGCGTGTGCAATACCTAGTAGGTAAGTTAGAAGGCCAATACTACTTAATCCTACCAAAAATAGGAGTCTATTCAGATTCTAAGTATCAATGTATCTTCTCATTTATCCTCAAAACTTTTTAATAAATAAGCACAAGTAAAATACTTAAAAACTCATTATATTATATTGTTATTAAAAGTAATAAATAAGTTTCGGATTTGGCATCCCACAAAGATACGGGTTGCCAAAAAAAACAAACACCAAGATCATATTCAAACCTTATTTTAGCCTTGATGTGTCCTAAGATTGGAAAATTCCGAAAATTTTAAAACCTGATTATATATCATGTTTGGCCATAAAAGTTTAAAAAAATTCGAAATTTGAAAAACATACACAACGATTATTTTCACTTCTAATCACTAATGAACATGCAAAAGGAATTCATCCCAACAAAGAAAGGCGATTCTGTAACCGAGAGATTAAAATTCAAGACATGTAGTTAAGGCTAAAGTTACCGTGGTACAAGCCTATAGAATATAGTCGTTTCAATTTATATTCATGATCAAACACAATGCCAATATCATTGAAAACAAAATCTACGTTTTCTCAAATTTCACAATTTTCTGGCCTCCAACATACCCGAAACTCCCCACAGTAAAATTTCGCCCAATTCTCTGAATTGAAAATAATGCAGGTGAAGAAAATAGGCAAAAGATTTCAATTACAAAAAGTAAACACACCGTTACAAAGTTGGAAGGTGAATTGGGTAAAGATGGAGCTTTTTGCATGTCCAAAAATGTCCGCCTTGAGGATTCCATTACTGATTGCACTGCACTTTCTGGAGGTTTTGCAGAGGAAATAGGTGTTGGGGATTTGTAGATTTTGGTGAAATAATAAATGAAGATAGAAAACGTTACATAACTTAGGTAGTCGGCGGAGCATGTGATTGTTTTGGAGGAGTGACACACTATTTATTTCATCCTTCACGCTTTTCTTCACGCCTTAGGGGCCCTACAACCGGTGATGATACCCCTCCTCAATCTTCACTCTATTTATCGTGCTTAAAATAAATAAAAAAATGAAAATATATATTTCATCCCACTCAATTTTTATGACACCATACAATACCACTTGGCATAAAAATAAATAAATAAATAAAAAGGATTTTTTAAAAAAAAATTGTGATCGAAAAAAGTTCACCGTGATTATTTATGTGGCCACAGTTTTTTTAATTAATAAGAATAATATAAAAAATTTAAAGTTAAATTATTTCAATGGTTGAAAGTACTTCCCCCATCTTATATTAGTTGATTTTTTTTATATGCATATTAAGAAATCATAAATAAAAATATAATTTTACTAATTCACCCCTTAAAAAACTTTTTGAGAATTTTTCGATCAAATGTGAACACTTAAAAAAAATTTAATTGTAAGAGTAATATAGGAAAATATTTAATTAATAGTTTCTTAATTAGTAAGGTGGACAACTAATATGAGATAATTATTTTTAGTAAAATAATCAACTAATATGAGACGAAGGAAATAATAATTTTTTTAGACGGACTAAAAAAAAAGGTGCCAAGTAAATTAGTCTAACAGGAGTATTAACTAAAGAGATAAGTCGTAGAAGACCTTTTCATCTATGGTGAAATTATAAATTACTACTACATAATTGAATTACAAGAGTATCTTATTATTTTCTTGAACTTAATTTTTTTTCGTAGCATGTATATTCCTAAACAATATGAGAGTACTATTACATTCAGAACTTAAATTTTTTGTATTATTTAAATTCTCTGAAATATTTTGATTCGATTTTTGTTGCTATTTTAATGCAGTTTTCGGTGACTGCTGTTTTGGTGTAATTTTTCTGTACTTTTGATGCAATGACATGAACAAGAATAGTAACTTACAAGTTTTATATGCTAAACAATATGATTTCAATTTACTATTAGATGTAAAATTGAAAGAAAAAAAAAAAACATATTCTCACAATGGAGTTTACTGATAGTTAGAAACAGAAATATTGTGCAAACTATACATCTGAGACCAATGCAGAAGACATTTGATTGAGTCAAAGAATAGTCACTTTGTAAAGCTTTTGCACTTTCTATATAGGCATCATCCATTTTGCCCTGTAGCAAGCTTATATAAAATGGAAGATTTTTTTTTTTTTTGAGATATACAAGATCACGGTTTCACTTGAACAGCTTTAGAGATGTCCAGATGGTTAAGACGACATGTTGCAAGAAGATATTCGGGAAGCTCCTCCGGGGTGTTGGCCTGTGAAGAAGTCAAAAAAATGGTTAATACGCGTTCCAAGAAGATACTCTATACGCTTTGTCATACTCATTGAAATTCTATGCAATTGTCAATATTGGCGCCTTACACAATTCAAGCCATATATGCTTTAAATGGAGAAGGGGACATGAACGTTTACCTGGATAAGAAACGCCATTTCAATGACAAGATTGTTTAGATATCCAACAACAAGGCTTACAACTCCCCTTGCCACAGTAGAAGAACCAACATTGATATCAAGCTGAAAGATCACAAAACTTTTTTAGGTCCACTATGAGAAAAAATTTCGATGTTTCACTATGGAGGGGTTTGAATGTCAATGCACTTATTATTCTAAAAATAGTTCAATTTTACTTTTGCAAAAGAAAAGATATAGAACTTCTGCAGTAGTGGAAGCAATTCATTCCCAAAGATAATGAAAATGGGCACATTTAACTGCACCAACTATAGTAGCTAACATGCAAACAAAATTAAAGCATCATTTCCTGTAGAAAAATTCTCTTGAAATTTACCTCCAAGTAGTTCTTTCCCCGAAAATAATTAATTTCAAGCGCTGGACCTACAAGGCATGCTTTCTTTCCAACACTCTGCTTGACTATCCATGGTCCCTGACAAGTAAATAGGAGTAAATACCACAACCTCTGATCTTTTTAAAATGATAAAATTGTTAAATACTTGTGTTATGCTGATTAAAGCACATTGTCCAACCGAAAAAACCAAGCAAGAAAACACGGAAGCATTACAACAAAGAGGGGACTCTCGGATGACATGAACTTTGGGAAAATAATGTATGCATGCAGTATCCATCTGACCATCTTTTTGGATTTCTCCATGATCATCTATATAATTTCTTGGGTAGTTGCAAAATTTGACCACTGAGAAGTAAAAAGTATCATTGTTTCGGAATAGAGAAAGTAAACTGGGGTGGGGTTGGGGGTTTGCTTAAAGATTTATTAGTTATATTTACCAAAGAAGGGTTCAGTTTTCCTTCGTGAGAGCAACTTGTTTCTGTGCAGTATTTATCTGCAAGCTCAAAGGTTATTAAAGGAAAAAAGTGCTACCACCAACCATTACCAAAAGCATAGATCAGTGCAAAGGCCACAAGACTGCTGGCATGCCATAGCTTTTTGCTAACTCATTAAACAACTTAAATAAAAATAAATATTATTAAACCTTGTAAAAAAGTGATTATGTTCAATCTCAATGATCAGAATACAAACCTTGGATATGTATGGTATGAGCTTGAACCTTGAATTTCTAAAAGCATCATCCCCTTTGACAAAACTCTCCAGCAAGGGCGCGTTTTCTATAGGAGTGTCCATCATATAGTAGAGAGCAAGAGTGTATGTTGTTGAACCTGGTACCTGAATGTAAGGCATGTTCAACTAAATGAACTCTTTGGAACTCCAAAGGAAAGCAGAAAAGGTATATAAAGGAAGCAAGAGAATATACCTGTATGTTCACAATGAAGAAAAATTCTGGACCACCCTTAGCTGCATATTTCTGCAGATAAAAGTTGGTAAGCAGCAGGTTTATAAACGACATGTGTATGTATGTTCATTGTCTTCACACAGAATAAGAGAAGCAACCTGAACAATGCTCCCAGGACGACCACCAAGATCATCTTCTCGCTTGTCAGACTTCAGCCAATCTGCAGCAACCATTTGCATCAACGTGCCTTTAGCCTTAATCTGTAACAGAGCCACACAACCAGTAAATTACATAAAATTAGGACAACACACATAACTTTGCTATACAATTTTGGACTAAACAAATTTTGACATGAGTTAGGGAAAGAGCCCACAATATCTCATGCATGCTATCATAGCAGATACTAGCCAAGAAGCCTGCAGATTTTTTGAAGTAAAGTTTCCATGCTGGTATGCCATTTTAGACATATTTTATTGACAGGAATCACAAACAATGGAGTTTTGTTTAATGCAATTTAACCAACACTCGATTGTGGTACAGCAAGATGTGGCTTTTGCCGAGAGTGATCAGTAGGTAAGGTTCAAAAAATTAATCAGACAGCAGGAACATCAAACCACAGGTATCAATTTAACAAAGGAAAGCATTTCTAGTTTCCAAGGTCAAATGAATCAGAGATGGACCACACAAAAATGAATCAGAACATGCTTATGGGAAAAATAAGACAGCTATGAAATCCCACCTTCTTACGATCTTCTAGATAAGTCTCTCCCCGAATAAGAAAAGTTGACGGATCTGTTTGGGCCCAACTGCAAGGCAAATTAAAAGTTGGATCTTTTGGAAGAGTGGACCCATAGTGGCACAACAATGCATCTTCCTTTGCCTTTTCATGCAGATCTACATAACCCCGCTTGTGAACTGAAGTGGGAAAGGAATATCAATCCTCAGAACTTCAACATTTCCATTAATTGAGTTTTTCGAAATAGCAATAC